TTTGAGGGAGTTAGGGCCGTGACGGCTTTAATCCATCCAATCGTTATGTAAATCACAGCAGTAGTATGAATATAGGTTGGTCCCGAACGTACACCAACACGAAACAATGATGGGCGGAAGTGGGTTTCGGCAAAGTGAGCGAGGCAGAGGAAAGTAGGAAAAACTGGTGGCTGACGCTAGGACAAACCGTATGCAGCGGTACGGCACAAAGGTCCCCCAATTTTAGGGGCTGGGGGGCTCATCCAGGACTGATCCATGATCGAGTGACCAATGAGTGACTTTCGGCTCGCAAAATTTCTCACGCTGAAGATGATAGTAGAAGGGGCTGATTGTGAGCAGCTTCGAGTGCTATTCAAATTTATCAAGTCGTCCCCACGACGCACTTGAGTGATACCTGGAACTTGAGGCTTGGGAATACATGCAACACAACCCCATTTGGTCGCCGGTCTGAGTCTCACCACACTCTGTCGTGAGACTCAAGCTGAGATGAGTGGGTAGTGTGACGATTACGACGTAAATATTTTCATTTCGGGAAAATACAAGCAACTAATTGTGCGTTATGGTAGGGAGTTCCGATTTTGTGCGATACGACGTGAGTTATGCGATGGGAATAAATCATACAGACGCGCGGAAATTTCTACTCGTCGGAGGCACCAGTGGGATCAGCCGCAACCCTACGAAGCTGCTCGCCTTGGCGGTTCTTCCACATGATAATGTCGCCTTCATCTTCGACGAACTAGTATGGTTGATCAAGTTAGCGTTCCTCGAAAGATTAAGAATTCTACTCTACCTCGCAGTTGACAAAGCTACGGTACAAAGCCCTCCAGGTGTTAGTCGAATCACTGTTATAATCGTCACCAAGAGCCTTTCGGACATGCTTCGTAAGCTCGGGGCCGTTCCAGAAAGGAATGCTGCTGAAGAAATGATGTGCGACGTGGTCATGCGAGATGTTGTGCAAGAAGAAACGTCCCTGCCATCCCATAAGGGGACGATCGATCGTCGTGGCCGCACCGCGCAGGAAAGTCCAGGTGTCCCTGCGGAAGTGGGGCATTGTGGGATCGGTGTGTGAAGGTAGGTGAACATGACGATCCAATGGTTAGTCCAGATATATGGAATGAAGTAGTACTTCACAAAGGTGGAAACCGAGGTGTTGTATGTCCAAAGGGCGAGGAAGGAGGCCCAAGTGGCGAGCAAGACGTTGGTAAAGATGATGGGGACACGATCGGACTTTCGGAAGAGGAGAGGACGGGAACCAGTGGTTTGTTCCTTCAGGGTACACGGGAGAGCCGAGGGTGTTGTAGGTGAGGTATAAGTTCCAGCCGATGGTTTGCATGATGACCATCCGTGTCAAGGTCCACAGAGGAGTCTCCTCGAAAATCTCGGCATAGTCCTTGCGCTTCATCGTCTTCTCATCCGCCATCTTGAGCTCTGAGCGGGTCTTGGGTACATAGTTTTCATCGCGCTCCATTGATCCAGTGGATTTGTCTATTTGCATATGCAAATCAATGAACCCGATACCACTGGCAGGTACCCCCAAAAACGACTCACGATGAAGGTGGTGAGAGTGCCTCCACGACCAATAAGGGGTTAAAATGAAGGTGTGGACAATGAAACCGATCGTGTGATTGGCGATTTGGTAATCAGAAAGTGTGCCGTGCCCAGCATCATGACCGATACAGAAGAGGCACCGCCTGTTAAGCCCTGGAACCACCAGTATGTGGACCAAAGGCCCCATTTAATGGTGAAGACAAGAGCAGCGTTGTAGTTCTGCGCAGACAAAGATTCCGCGATAGGGTCTATGAACTTGGCAGCCTGAGAAAGTGACAGAAAACGGATCCAAAACCCATGCAGATGAGCAAAGTCCTGACACCGTGGAATGGCGAAACACGAGTTTACCTGGTAGAAGGCCGTGCAAAGTGCGACATCACGCAGAGTCCATGCAATGCCTTTAAGGATGCTCTTCTTCCACAAGTGCTTTGGAATAGCGGCGTGTATGTCTTTCAGAGTGACCTTCGCAAGGCATACTCGGTCTCTAGTCGCTTCTTGTATCTGGTGACAACAAAACTGTGAGTCGCCAAGGTCCAGTCCTCGTCAATCAAATCTGCTCACTCGGGGCCATCCTCAAAGATACTCATGGTGACTTAGTGAAGGACGGGAGTGGATAAGACGTATAAGAGACTGGGTACCCAGAGAGGCAATTAAAGGAGATCTAGGGTTAGCCAGGAGGTTCGACATATCCTATATAAAGGACGTCTCATGCAGCACTGTCGCATGCACATGCCAACTGCTTGGGTAAATGAATTGCATTTTGCAACGATCTGATAGGCCGTAAAGTTCACGCCACTCGGCTGAATAGACAGTATCTCTACCGGAAGGAGCATCCGGTTCATTTCGGAGTAAGTACAACGTCTCCGACGTGCAGTTCCGTGGTTACATGAAATATGAATGCAACCAATTGCAGATCATGCTCAAGCAGACTGCAGTGTGGGTGATCGTTGGATCAGAGTACCATATGAGCTTAAGCCACTTGCAAATGAGGTTGAGTGAATTAGCTCAACGTTTTGGAACGAACTTGAAAGGTAAGCCTACTGTAATGACCGAAAACGGTGCGAGTACAATACAAATTAACGTGACAGCACATTTAATAATTGCCGACCTTGGCTTGTCGTGTAGCGGGGTTGTCCGAATTATATTAATGACCAGCTTGCTCTCAGGCTCCCCACACAGCTCGAGAAAGCACGAGCTACTGGCAGCACAACATTCGCGACCGATTCACATAACTGACTAGCGCTATTTGTGAGTTGATCTCATCATGACTGACGGGATGGGTAACATGCTCCGATTGCGTCCCTGCCAATTGTACTTCGGTCTGCCGGGGTGTGGATGCACCTCCCCGCCAACGGGGAGCCAGTTCAGCGTGGTTATGGCCACTAGATTATCACAAGGAACCAAGTCATTGGATATAGGTATTTAATTTCGCCTCTGAATCTCCTTTGTTCATGCAGATTGGACCGTCCATCTTCCCCTCCGTCAATAACACGCCAATTCTTCCTTAGAATATCAGGGTGACACCTTCTCATGATGGATCAACGCAATGGAGCCATGTCCCTGAGACTCCATTGAACCTCATTTCCGTGATATCGGTGCCCGAAATTGTCGCTGGCAACAGATTACTAGCCCTATCAATTCTAGCTTCTTTTCAGTACACCTCATCAGAGGTCGTTTACAAGTCTTATCTCGGCGTTGGGTTTCCATGCTCGCTTACTGGCTTTCTAATTTTGGGCACATGCTTGTACTATGCTTTTCGCGTCCCAGTGTCGGGGGAGCTGCGATCTACGTACGTTCGCCGCCAATGCCCATACAAAAAGATTGTATCCTCGCCAGCGGAGGAAGCAGTTGAGCGAATAGTCCATCTTCAGTGCATACCGATTGTGCCTTTCTGAATTCTGATGGACTGATAAAACTGCTTGAACGTCATGTCAGACTCATTTGTAGTAGCGATAACGTACATCATCAATCCCTGACAACTTGCTCAATACCTTAATCCATTCCCCGACACTGATCCACCCGATCCGAATGAGGTTCCCCAGCCACCAGCCGCCAGGTCGCCGACGAGCGCCGATCAGAAGGGACTAGTGAATTAGCTCAGTTATCGTAGGGCTTCGACAGCGGTAAACCATCACAAATTCAGCATGTTCTGTTTGTTCGAACTAACGCGGGAGTTATTCCATGACATTAAGTGGCTAAACGAATTATCCGTACATGATTGTATCCAAAATTTTATGATGATCTAGAGCCCAGCCCAAGTCTGCCCGGTGGGCTGGATAATTGGGACTTCTCTTCCAACCTCGATGACCTTATACCCAACGAACTTACTGCTCCCCTTCTCCCTAACCCATTCACCATCATGATACGTCTCCTTCCTATTCTTTCCTTCCTCCAACCTCGTATCCACGAAATCTTCCGCAATCGCCTGACACCATTCCGCCACAGGCTGCACGTTCCATTTTTCTGGTGGTCCGCCTCTGCCAAGGAACCCACCCCCTTGGAACCAACCCAGATGTCCACCATTCTTAGTAGTACACATTCCCACCCAGGGACTTAGTCCTGCCTTGTGAAGGGGAATTTCCGCGACGATCGGATCGTCCAATGCATTCATCGTCAAAAATGGAATCCTAATCGTCTCTAAACATTCATGTGCGCTACTCCAGACGTAATAATCTTGTACTGTTGGGAACGGAAAGGGTGGGAAAGAACCGCCTACAATGCTAGTGAGGTGACTATTGACGGTTATGAAGTCTGGCGACTTGAGAGAGAGAAGAATTGGCAAGTGGGGTGTGATAGCGGATGGCTCGGGGAATGCAGAAAGTTCCACTGCGTTACGGTTGAAAAGCTCAAGAAGGGTACCACCCATAGCCTTCGAATAGATCGCGCGGTTGATGAACCTCTTCTCGAGTCTAAGGTTTGGGGAGAAGTGGAAAGCATGGCTCAATCAATTGCAATATTGGCAAAGGACTGAGGGGAACTGACTTGTCACTATTCTTGAGGTTGTCCCACGGACAGGCCATGACACATGCAGCGGTCAGGCGGCACTGCTCTCCTTCCTCACTAACGTATCTCGTGAGGACATTAGCACCTAGGGAAAATCCAATGCCGAGAAGGGGGGCCTTGGGGTAGAGCGATTGGATGTATAGGAGCGAAGTGCGGATATCTTCTGTATGGCCACCAGAGAACATTTGCGGTGAAGTGAGCTTCACACCCGCGCCTTGAACGTCCGGCTTTCAGCACCATTGCAACCTCTCTGTCATAAAATAAAGACTCACATCCACGGAAATTCATCACCACTCCCCGATACCCAAGTCCACCTTGCTCCACTGGTGCGGAAGTCTTAGCTAATATAGCCCTTACATAGCTCTCGTACGATCCGCCCGTCAAACCGTGCAAAATAACTACTATGGGGGTATCGTCCGGCAAAGGCTTGTCCTCTGCAGGCGTAATCGGTTGTTCGACCCAGTCAAGGCCGATTGTACCTCCATCCGGAACGCGTAGGAGGGTACGAGTGTATTGGACTGGATCAACAGTGGAGAAATCACCCAGAGAACACCAGATCGTTTGAAAGTGACCACTACGGCCCGAGAAATGGGTTTCGGAGGTTTAGGTTGGCATTGGGGTAAACACTTACTTGGGAAGCCACCAAGTGGGTTTGTACGGTCTTAAGAAGCTAGGACACCGAGTTGCAAAGAACCCTCTCATACTGACGACTTGTGTTTCCCTTTCGCCGCTTCCATCCTTCTTTAGTGGCTTCTGGTCCAAGTCAGAGTATGGGGAATGTCGTTTACGAACGGTATAGGTAGGCTCATCAGAAAGGTAGAGAACTGGGGCGCCTCGGTTCGGAACAGGATCCGTGAAGAGCCATCTAAGGAAGGATAAGAAAGCACCCATGGCGGAGTAGTCAGCTAGGGGTCGCTAGTACGAGCGGTCAAAATCCGTTGAGACGTGATGTTAGACAGAGGTTGAACTAAAAGTGGGTTGTGTTTGTGAACTAGGACCGGAAGTAGCTTACCGCCAACTTCCAAAGCAGACGTGAGAGTTGGTCGTTTGTAGGATCGTGGGAATGACGAGCACAGGTTCACAGTGACAATGCTCAGTTGTTTCCTTCAACTGGTCCTTCGGATCAAACCGACACGCCTGAGTGAAAGAAGTTGAGCATAGAGGTGCTCCGTGTCGTGCTAAAGTGTGCACCAAGCGTCAGTCGAAGTGAGGGAACGAGGATTCAGAATTGTAGGAGCATGATTATGTAAATGGGATTCCATGTAAGAGTGGCCGGCGACAAGTTTCCCCATGATTCACATCAGAAAATAAAGAATACCATTGGCCCAGCGGTCTGTGTTTCCTGTGCAGCGCCGCCTTGTTATCAAAAAGTCAAATAACTAGTAGATGCTGGCGTTCAAGAGTGAACCCAACGTCAAGCTGTGACGGTCACGGCATGACTGCAAGCGGCACTGGTGGCTATGCTCGAGTGCTATTCTGCAACAGCAGACGTTCATTCTTTGTCGATGCGTTGTATGAGCCGGTCGGATCTCGTCATTTCGCTGTTTCTTGGCCGTGTAGTGATCACGGACCTTGCACTTTCTAATAATGTAAGTCAAAAGTTTAATTTTTCCCTCACATTAAAATTTATTTCCCTCATTCACTTTATCATCCCTTTCTCGTGAAAGATGCAGGGTTGGGATATTTTATGCATGGTTACATGGGGGATCAGTGAACGCCTCTTTCGGGTCCAGGCAGACGGACAATCGACGGTACCCAATCCCGACATCGCTTAGAATTCCCTCAACCATCACTTGTGACCCTGTTCATTCCCTCACCACATGCACCGCAATCAATATTCGCTGATTCAAGCCCCTTGGATTTATGGAATTTAATCGCCTGCTCTTTATAAAAGACTGTCCACCCTCCCACAGCCATGGTCATTTCGCTCTTCCTCTTAAGCCTTCTCTTCTTTCTTCACACATATCGCGGTCCTTTCTTACCCCTCCTCCATGACGCTCAAGCAATACAATCCCTTCTACGATGGCCCAGAGTAAGTCCCTCCGCCCTGTTCTAACACGTTGTGTCCTGACCACATGCACAACCTGTTAGATACAAGGAACGTTTGAGGAAGGACTACCGTATCCCCACCATCACCTTGAAGCAAATACATGAGGCGATTCCAAAGGATGCGTACGAAAAGAGCACCCTCAAGGGCCTCTCATACGTCGCTCGGGACATCTTCTTCTCCCTCCTCTTTTATGTGAGCCTCTCTTCCTTCGGCCTGCGCAATCGATGACGACATACACTGACACCGAACATCGATTCCTCTTTTGCGAGCAGAAACTTGCTACCTATATCGATCCATTCGCTGATTCACTCGAGCAAGGTCACTGGGTGAGATTTGGGGTCAAATGGAGTTTGTGGTCACTTTACTGGTATTCTGCTGGAATTGCCTGGGCTGGGATGTGGACACTGGGCCATGAGGTGGGTTGATTACCTTGCGCATGCATTATCGAGGGCTTGCTGACCACTGTTGCCGTTTTATATTCCTCCCTGCGAACCTTCTGTACCGCTCACAGGCTGGTCACGGTGTTCTCGCGAATCAATCGTGGCTTAATCATGCCGTCGGCTTCACCTTACATTCATTCCTCTTCGTCCCCTACTTCTCTTGGCGGCACTCTCACCATCTCCACCACAAGTCAACCGGTTCCATTGAACGCGATGAGAATTTTATCCCTTCCACCCGATCGGATCTTAAACTTCGTGACCCACGCAACGTTACGAAACAAGACTACAGAGAAATGTTCGAAGAAACGCCCCTTTTTTCTCTTCTTCGCATCTTCTTTATGCAGGCTGTGGGGATGCAAGCCTATTTCACTTATAATGCCCTCGGGAACCCGATGTATCCTGCCTGGACGAATCACTATTCCCCTTACAGCGCACTCTTCAGAAAAGAACAACGTTGGCAAATTTTCCTCTCTGATCTCGGTCTTTTCGCGATGGCGGGTGTCGTCTATACTTGGATTCAATGGACTAGTCTCGCCACCATCGTTAAGTTCTATACGATCCCTTACCTTTTGGCGAACCATTGGATCGTGATGTTGACATATCTTCACCATACCGACCCCACTATGCCCCATTTCCGCAAAGACGCATGGACATTCGTCCGAGGGGCAATCACCACGGTCGACAGACCCCTTCTTGGGCCCCTCGGTCGTTTTTTCCTCCATAACGTCTCTCACGATCACGTTGCTCATCATTTGGTTTCTTCCATCCCCCACTATAACGGTCCTCGAGTAACTGAAGCACTGAAAAAGGTGCTCGGGGAGGACTATAATTACGATTCGAGCAATACGTTTAGGGCCCTTTGGAGGAGTTTCAATGAGTGTATCTTTATTGAGGATGAAGGGGATGTGGTGTTCTACAACGATAAAACAGGAATGCCGAAGAGGACGTTAGAAGGGACGGAGTGGCCTGTTGCGCCCAGAGATTGAGCAAGGAATCACCTCTTTTCAAACCAACCATACTGTCCCCTGTATCAATGTCTTAAAAGCGTTCGTGTTGCTTGCTTTTTTCGCGTAGGACTAGTTACGTTCCCCCCTCAAGTACACTAACCATAGCTATTGTTCAAAGCGCTCTATCTTTTTTTTGTCATCAATTCTGCGTGCTTGCATGCATATTGGCACTACCAGCAGCTTGTAGATCTATCATCCGTGACCCGCTAGCATTTCTTACCTTAATCTGTTCCTAAATTCATTATCGTGGGTCCCAAATAAGATCCAGGATCCATGATCCCTTCGCTCAATTGGTCCTGCCATACAGGCGGAGGTGAGTTGGCCCGGCCGAGGTTAGGCCAGGTACGGTCTGATTGATGTTCTGAGCCGGCTAATTCTGCCCTCTTCCCCAGTGGGAGGCGAAAGGCGGCGTTGGGCATGGCAGTTGCGAGGTACTCATTATCATGAAATTTACTTCGTGGAGATGTAGTCTGTCTGATAAATGGATTGGAAAAGTCCGAGCAGTGTCGACTTCGTAGCATCCTGATCGGTGCACAGGAGCCGGGGTGGCTATATCGTTTAAGTACTGATAGTAATACACGCTCCATGATACCGTTGGTATAGATCAACTGATAGTGAGTTAGGTTAACTACAACGAGGAACTAAACATCACACAGCTATTTAGGGGCTACGTGTAGGCAGAAGCGTCGGATTCCCCAGAAGGTAAGTCTGACCGGCATCGGGGATCCCGCCACTGTTATAACGAACTCGTGGACTCAGCGATGTCTGAGCGCCAGTGGAACATGCTGTCCCGTCATGTTAGGCAGGGAGGTGCGGCTTGATATCATGTTGAGGGCTGGACAATACACTCCACCCCTTAGACTTCGCATCGTGATCTCGTCTGGGAAGTTGACGAACTAGCTACTACTCGTCAAAAAGGGGGGCACATCCCTCGGGTTTGAACCGACTGTGCCGGGGTAGGGTGGTAATCCGTCCAGAATTGCGTGTTCAGGAAGGATGACCACAGGAAAGCTGGACGATCGGCTGTAATCCAGGATTACCGCCGAGATGGAACCCAACTGCGATACACAGAATCTACCGAGCCAAAGAAAGATCTTAGTGAGCTAGCATCAGTTTTTACCCAAGAAAACCTTCCCATTGGTCTGAAGATTCCAGGGACACGGATACCAGTTCCAGCAGGACCGCATGCCCGGAACCACGTGGGCCATAAGCTCCTGATGAGGCTACATTCTCGATTTCTGTAGTGTGTGTCAAATCTGAGAGGTTCCAACAAAGAAACGTAGTTGCAGCTGCCAATAAGATAGTGGACCATTGGCACGTTACGTTGTGGTAGGAATGAAGTGTACTATTGGTATCTTAACACTATGCCGAAAGCGTATTCCCAGCATTGTAACAACATCTTTAGGGTCGCGATGCAAGCACATCCATCAGGACACGGGTGAGTTCCGCCAGATCCGTGGAGCAAGCTTAACTAGGTGAAACCAGGGACAGTACGGACTCCTAGAGGGAATATTTCCATGTGGAAATGATAAGGCACGGCGAATCATGTCTTATCTCCAGCCGATTCTAGGAATCCTCATTCCAAGTAGCTCAGAGATGACGAGAGCGACAAACATCAGAAAAATGACTCGCCAACTCCCAACAACAAAGTTGCGAGACTGAGAAATATTACGAGGGATTGCACCAAGTAAACATTTAATGCTGGACGAGATGACCCATTTCAGAGGCACGGAAAACTATTTTGCCTTGGGATTGTCGTTGCCATCATTTCAGAATCAACCAGAGGTATCTTTGGTCTGCCAATTTTTCAACTCTTGAAAAGACTTTGGCCAGAACTAAAATAGTCCAATGAAAAAAGAGGGTGTGGTAGGAAGGAAATGACCTACGCTTGCGAATTTACCCTTGCAATGTCCCAGTGCATCGTGGCCGAGACGGAATAGGCGCAGGGAGTCCTGACTAGATGCCAAGTACTTCGGTTCCGAACTCCTGATTCTGTCAGGTTTTGGATTACCTTTTAATTCCTGAGAACCCGAATTATAATCATTGATGTTGCCGATCACAAGAAAAGCGACCTTGAAGCTCCATAATCTAAGATCCGGTTTCAGGTGTTTGTCTGTTGAATATCATCTAAAATTCGACGGAATAGGGGCAAAGCTCCGCGCGTGGCCGCGAAATATCGGTGATGTGTGCTAACAAAAAAGTAGAATACCCAGTTAAGAAAGATTCTTCCCCAATGAGGGCTTCCGTGTCCGACTGCGAAGCGGCGCCTGAGAATAAAAAACATGATTTCTGTCTTTCAGCCTCATTAACAGCGCCACACATACGCAGCAGACCACAAAGCGCACCAATCAAAAAGCATCAGGTGCGTTCCTCTGTCTTTTGAATGACATCACTGCGCTTCACTTGGTCGACAGGTGACAAAGGACAGAGTGGGGGCCCAAGTGCTGTACTGGGAGAGAGATACTAGTACGACGCTGTAGATATGGCAACATTCGCCGCAAAATAACACGGATCCTTCAACAGACTGCCCCTTTTGACCCTGCTCGCCAAAGCATCTTAAGAAAGTTCCAATTTGAGCAATCGTATCCGAGGAAGCGAAGGTTTCCTCGTCATGGGACGGCATTGTGTAGATCATTTGAAAGTACGCTGTGTCGTGTGAGGCTTCCCGCCACAATTGACGATGCAAGCCCGTTAGGAAACCACCCTGATTCATTGTCATGACGCAGTTCTCCGACAGTGTTGTGGAACACGCTAAGCCGTGTCTAACGATTCAAAAGGCATCCCAGACCACGAAATCATGATAGAGAAACTGAGGCTGGAGGGTAAGTCCGAGGGGGGATTGGAAAGCATCAAGTTGGGGTCAGAGAGTAGCTCGGCGGAGAGCTTGGGACGAACACGCATGTGTACTCACCACATAGTACGCAATTCCAGCTACATAGATAATGACAAGGAAATAAGTACATGGGAGCATCCCCGAATCGTGTTGCTCATGAGTGGCCTCGTCAGATCCGTGAGAATCCCTGGGCCAGATCGAGCCCAATGGTAATTAGAGCGATGATCGTGGTGGGGGATATGCCAGAAGAGGCCAGGGGCTCGATGGGGGGCGATGAAATCGCATATGCTGCCGCGTGTACTATCGGCAGAAACGCAGCATGGTCATACTGACACGCATGCACATGATTGATCAGAGACAAACGGGGACCAGGGGTTAAAAGCCAACACCCAAACTCGGCACCAATACAGACCCCAAAGTCTCGGCCGGCTATGGTCATTAGAATGAATGGCAGTACTGCGTGTAGGCTGAGGTTTCATGGTTGGATTGTTGAGATATACAGACAAAGTTGTAGAACTCAGAAGTCGCCGATAGAGACCGGAGCGGGATGGGTGTGGACCCGATATCGCGCCCCGTGTTTCACTAGTACTGGTACTTTTCGGTGACAGCTAGAAAGACCATGTGACAGTTAGGTCAGTCAATTCTGCGAGAACTTGGACCCAGCTGCGCGAATCTCGCCTCACTGCGTAGCTGGGGAAAATTGGTGGTTTGATCGATTCCCTGTCGAAAAGAAGTGAATAAAAGGCCACAAATGGTAACTATCGACATCCAATCCGATGGGGTGCGCCCGTCCGGCCGCCTTAAATTCCCGGGCTTCTGCTTCACAAGCAGATAATGATTACTCTGTCTTGAAACCCCGCGATGGCCTCGTGATGTACACGACGGTGCGGCCATCCCAGGGGAGACCGTCTTTACTAGGCAGCAAGGGCTCATTGGTGTAGTCGGGTTGGAGAGGATGACCGTCCGAATTTATGGTAGCTGGAGACTTCACAAGCAGACATTTCTCGACCCACTGATGGGACAGAAGACCCTCTCCGAGTCACCTCAAAGTCTCCCTTCATCTCGCGTGGCACTGGACAATGGACATCGTATACTATTTATTGCATGGTGAGTCGAAGGGACATGCCGCTTGTCGGTATCAACTCATTGTCCCTGTGGCTTCGAATTATCACCCTGAAAGCCAAGGCCGGACACATTGTGCATGGTATTGCCGGAAAGGTGCCTTTCCTCGATGGGATTTGACTTTCCAACTTGAGAGTCGATCTGTTCCCAACTTGCATGTCCGGCTTGAGCGGGTCAGCGAGATACAAACTCCAACAGGCTGGATCCTCGAGATCTGCCATTTAACTATGGGGGTAAAGGGTGAAGACTCAGAATTTACTGAGCCGGTTTTTATGCTTGATCCTCGATATCGATCCCCTAACAACATGCAGGATTGTTCATTATGAAGGGTCAACCTTGGGGTTGCCACCCTTCCTGGAATGGGGGCCTTACCGAAATGGGTGTGTAGGTCATCAGTGCTTGGGGATCTGGTTCACAGGAAATGTTCATTACGCGGTGCTCCGACACAAAGGCGAGGCTTTCTAAATGACTGAAGACTTTTCTTGGCATGGGCTAAGCGATGATCGCCTAAGGGTTCCACTTTGAGTCCGTGCAGATTGTTGGCAACTTGGCATAAGCATTCTATTCAACATGGCGACGCCGCATTAATCCCTTGCGAGTCTAAAGAGGGCGCGTTCGGTCTCCGATGGGCAAACGCGGAATGCTTTGGCAGCTTGGAAAACGAGGGAGGCATGTGGACACTTCACCAATCAGATTCACATCGGTGAGGAGCGAGGAAGTCCATAGAGGCCCCGCTCGTGAGGTTGCGCCGCTGCTTTTCAAGTGAGTGACTACGCTACTGAAGGGCATAACGTTAGTCCACTGGGTTTTTGAAAATCCTTCAAAGGACTTGGCTTGCGTATTCTTGATGAGCACACGGCGCCCCTCCTATCCCTTTCATTCCGCTCCGCCCGCCTTCACACTTGTTTGTTTCCAGGCTTAACTTCTGCCTACGCATTCGGCGGACCCGTTCCATTCATCTGCATCTGGTCAGTTCCTTGGTTCAGTAATCGCCCAATCCTGTCTTGGCTCAATACATAACCCAGTGATAGATTTATCCCCCAAACCTCGTCGCAAGCACGATGATGCTCAACTATAAACTTGGGGATGATCTGTATCTTTGTAGATGAAACAGGACCAGTGTTGTGAAACTTCATCGTAGGTCTCATTGAAAAATCTGTCGATTTCCGAGATAGTCCGACAATCTTATGACGATTGGGGTCGGGGCGCGCTTGCGTGGGACCACGGCGTTCCATTTGGACATGTTCATCAGCGTCATCGCTGCACTCACGCATAGCAGCTTAGACGGTGGAAGATTTTTCAGGGCCTCGGCACGGGCCACGTTTTCTATGGTGGAAGCTTGAGCAAATCGGAGTCACCCAGGAGGCGATGGATAAATGGCTTTGGGCCAATTACGCGAGTGGTATCTGACTCGTGCCACCTCACGCTCAGCCCGTTGTCGATGACCCAGGCTGCATCACATTAGTTCGAAATTGGATGATTATGTAGTCTTCCCTCCTATTTGCCGTTTGTCATCAGGGGTCTGTCGGCTGGTAAGATGACAATAGGCTTTGCTATCGGATTCGTGTGCTGCCTCCGATCCAGACGCCTCGCGTACAATCTTTATCAGTTTTCACCTTCCATGCAACAGGTATAGCTTTTCGTGTCGATTAACGCCAACTTTGCCAGACATCTTTACGATCGGCCCGTGGTAACACTCCGTAAGGGATTCCGTTCATAGGGCATTATCGCCCCCCCAAGTACTGCTCCATTTGAAAGTTACTTAATTCATTGATTGCGCTTAGAGAGTGGTCGCGGTGCAGGCAATGGAAGAGCTTTCGGACATGCAATAGCATTGATATGTATGATAAAGAGTAGCCACAACGTCGGCATAAGTGTTGCCTGCCAACGCCAAAATGGGTATCTGGGACCACCGCACGTATCACGCACCACCCCCTTCGCTGCGGAACTCCCTAGAAAGCAACAACCCCCATGCCATCACAAAATACATCACCGCCGCCGGGACAGCGCACTTCAGCCCAATTTCCTTCCAATCCCACCACCTCTTCCCAGGCCCCATGACCTCAACCCCAACACCCACACCCACGCTCCCAATTCCTCTGGTCCAAGCTCTCAGCCAATCTCTCGTTCTTCCTTTCTCCTCTTCTCTCTCCCTCTCCTCTTCTTCTTTCGTCGCCCTGTCGTCTTCAGCTCCATCAGACCCATTCTCACCAACCCCTCCGTTCATGTGGCCCCATTTCTGCCGCCGGCGTTGACGTCTTTCACTCAGATTACTCGTTGCCCAAATTTGAATCCCCCTCGAGACGCACGTCGTCGTTCCAATCACGGTCCAACAGATTAGCGGACGAACGTGATGGTCGAGGACGACAAGTGTGAAATGAGTTGCCGGCCAACATATTGCTTGAAGACCGAGAAGACGTATCAGGGTAGGTAAGAGTGGGTAGTAGGCTTTCCAACGGAGGAAGAGACCCTTAGTGAATTTACGACATTGATGCGCTGTCAGCATCGCCTGTAGATAACGTACGGAGAGGTAACGTTAGCCAGGACGAAACTAAAATGGATGAAATCGACCCACCCAAAGTAAGCACAAGAAATAATCAACTCTACAAAGTCCAGGCCTACATGTGTCTGGATCAAGAACAGCAATATTCCATACATGGGAAATGATCGCCAATGAGGCGGGTACGATCGAAAGTAATCTGAAGAAGATGATAATTGGGGGAAATACTCGTGCCCAGTCTGGCCGGCGATTCCTGAAGAGCGAGACAGGACTAGAACGAGGTGAAAACGATGTCGTGGATGAGGATGAGAACGTCCGTCGCCTGGATGTTTGCCAGCGCATTGTCTTGAGAAATTGTACAATCAATCACAAATCCGAGGAAGGGAAGAGGAAACCAAACGATATTCAGCGACTCGAGACAGATAAGATTAAGTCAAAAAATACTCACAGGATCATGGCTTGACTCGTCTGTCTCCGCCATCCTCACAGCTCTCCTCTTCCTGCTTGTTCTCAACGCAGCGTCGATCTCATCAACAAACACTGTCCTATCCATTTCGTCTAGCTCCTCATAATCGGAGTAATCCACTCTTCTTCTTGCCCTTTCCCTGTCTCTTTCCTTATCTCTGTCCTTCCAACCAGTCCTCCACCTCCCGCCTCTCGCCCCTTTACCCGATTACTCATCAAAGCAATCTGGCTCTGCCATGCATCCGAACTACTCGAGTCTTCTTGTCCGAAACCCCGTTGGTGTCCCCTCCTTCCTTTCATCTCCCACCCCTCATTCCGCCCATTGTTCTGCCCTCATCAGCACCAAGATAATCATAACGATTAGGGTGGTCAGACTGATGATGTTGTGGTTGTTGCTGCGAAAAAGAACCAGCATTTCGAGTTGGACGTCTCGATCTCGCATTCGTGTTGTTGGTGCCATTAATGCTATCAGGATTACCGCTCGAGCGGTAGTACGAAGGAGACGGAGGACCAGAGGAGGAAAGAAGTGGCACGGACGCCGAAGTGGTTTGAAGTGTCAAGTGGCCGTGGCTACGACTGTGAGCCCGAGTCCCCCGGTGAGGAGTGGGAAATTGCACGGGAGCTGAATCTGCAGAGGTCGTCGAAACCTGCGGCTGGCCGATCGAAAATGTCGTCTCGTGATGACCATACGGAGGAGGTTGCAAATTCGTCACATCGTCATCGTTTAACTCCACAGACGAGTTTTGTAAATTCTGCTGTGCCTGCGCAACAGAAACCTGATGTTCTAATTCTTGCTGTCTTTGTTGTCTTTCTCGCTCTTGCTGCTGCTGTTGCTGTTGGTGGTGGTGGAAAGCAGCCAACCCCCCAGCATCAAACAAATACGGAAGATGAGGACTGGAATACGAAGTTCTTAGCCCTCCCATCCCTACCCCGATCCCAGGGGCATCATGATGTCCTGAATTAACGCCAACACTAGGTGCTGTGGTGTGGGAAGGGACATGCGAGGGTGGAGGTGGAGAAAAGAACGGATATGCATAATATGCTCCGGGGCCAGCAGCAAATATTGCTGCTGGAGCATTGGGTGGAGGACCAGAAGCCGCTACATTGGGAAACATTTGTGACGAGATGGACGCATTGCTTCGACTACGTGATCTAGGTGAAGGTGGATCGTTCATATCTGAAGAATTCGGCATGGATGCTGAGAGAGATGGAGCAGGGAAAGGCAGTGGTTGCATTGGAAGGGAAGGTAACGAAGCAGACAATTGTTGATGTGTTTGAGTCGGTCCAGGCGAGCTAGAACGCGATTGAACTGGAGAGAGATTGCGAGGCGTTGAAGCATTGGGTGGGTGCGAGGAGATGGAAGTGAAACCGAGTGATTGTGAAAGGGCACTAATTCGTGAACGAGAAGCCGCACTTGCATGATGTCTATTGTGGCTGCTCATGATGCTTGTTTGTTAGATGCAGAAACGATTTAACGTCTCAGTCGGTTGCCGCAATGCGAGTGAAAGATCGTGTAGGAGTGAATGTTTGACAATAGCACCCGCGCCAACCGATCTCCGACTAGACAAATCCGCGCAAACAAATGGGTAGACTTTCGGACGCGGTTCAGCTAACGGTGCCGTCTCTCGTTGAAAATTCTCATACGTACGTGGGATACGAGTCGACGAAGGACAACTCGGACCTCCAAGTCTACAAGCCCGAGTTTCCGATGAACGGCTTTGGACGTGTCACTCACGACAGAAAGGTCCGCAGCGATGAGTTGGTCACACACGAGCTCCAGGTCAGCAACAGCAAAAAAGACCAGGAGAGGAAGTGCTAAAAAAGAAAAAGCCCCGACAAAGACTAAAGTGGGAGATCAAGCGATTCAAGCGAGCGCAGTGACGCCCAATGACGCTCTTTTCACAAACGAAAGAAGGTGTTTCGGAACCAGGAAAACAGCGCTCAGCAAAGACACAGCACGGTGTGTTGTGTTGGATATTAAGTAGCAGCGACCCGAAGCAGTGCCACTCGGTGAGAATTCTGATGACTGTGTGCACGAAACGAGTTGACCGTATTGAATTCAAATTCGGTACTACCATTTTAAGTACATACGATACGTGGCATTCAAACTCCTCCCCGGGCTGCACTTCCCATAAACTGACGACAGTCGTCAAGTGCGTGCTGTTTGAACGAGTTATTGGACCGCTATCAGATATGAAAGAGAACGTGCTTGAGCGCTGTGATTATGGATTATGGTGGAGCAAGGAGGGTTACCCACGATTTCACTCAGAACGCTCTGCCCTTCTGCCGCGGTCAAGTTTGACAAACATCGGCATCAGTCTGTCGTAAACGCTCTTCGCCACTTGACGGGCGCTCGACAACCTCATTGAGCGCCCTCCTGATTCCCGCGCAATTTCCCCCGGGTGACGTCGAACCAACTGCTTGTGTTGCTGCAGGGGCTCCTCCTATCTTGCGGGTGGGGCCCAACAGCTTCTCATTCTTGCAAGTTACCATGCTGGTATGCACTGCCCTTATCGACTTGCCACAAACGGTTTGAAAATTTCAGCATAATATTGCGCTCATTAAATAACAGCATTTTGTTGGGCTGCTTCGCGCGGATTTTCAATACTTGCGCTTCGATACGACCATCGATCGAGACCCTTCAATGATCTAACGAACATTTCATCAGAGCCCTTCCGTCAGCACGAATGTATTTTCCTTGAAGGGTACGGTGTTTACACTCCTTACCACCAGGAAATTATGAGTTGACTGTCACCGCAACAGGGATACTCTCCAGTATTATCAATTTTCCCAATCTGGCCCCTTTCTATGGCTCCGGTCATTTCCACCCTTTATGTAGAAGAACCCGAACGCTTAGGTTCACGGCTGCTTCTAACCGTCTGTTTGTTATCTGTGCAAACACTTTCGTGATGCCGGTCCATCCGCGTTGTTGTACTTGAGCGCTTTCAACAATTTCGGGCTCCAGAAGTCTTTGCACTGAACCGAGCATGCGGCACCGGAGGACACCGGCACTATATACTCGGAACGTGCATGTGGACCTCCTGATCAAATTTATCCGCAACATACTGGTTGCACTATGCACAACCGATTTGCTCATCTCGCAGAGTTGGCCTTCTCCATACTTCTCCGTATCATCCAAGCTTCATGGACCAGAAGTCCAGAAGGCCGATCTATGTCAAGAAGCCATTGGAGTAAAGCGTTGGTCCCTGCGCGCAACAAGACACAGGATTCCACGACGGAATCTCGACAGCTTGAATTGTACCCTATTGCGGTTAGATGCTGAGTTGCGTTAGTCATCGTGATGATGTACATAACCACCATATGACGTCATCGGTTTATAATGACTACAGAGCAAATCTTTCACCCGGCCGCCCACGCGCAAAGGGCACAATCGCAAACACAACGACATATCTACGCACTCTATGAATAAATTCTATGGCTAAGCGATTGCATTCTATGTGAGAAACGAGCAAAAAAGCACAACGAGTGAAAAAGCAAGGATATGAGTTACAACGGATGGATGGGTCGAGCAAGCTGACACAGGAACAAGGAGTTGGAGGGGAAAAAAAGGTCTGACGGAAAAAAATTAACGGGAGACAAGGAATGGGATATATATAGTTGCTTCAAACAGCTTCTTTGAGTCTTTTAAACAAACTATCTCCCCGAGAGCTCCCCCCACCGCCACCGCAGACTCACAAGTCCACTGGCCCTTTATCCTCCACCTTCGTTCCATTGATCCCATTTCGCCTCCCCTCATGCTCATCCACACCATTCCCCACAGATCCCTCCATCACCCTCGTCGGAACCCCTTTCCGATCCCGATAAAACACCACGTCCCCTTCATCTTCCACGAACTGACACTGAGTAAAATTCCTCCAGATAGATCGATAGGTGTTTGTGCCGTCATAACAATAATCATCGCCCAACACTTTCTTGATCGCTTGTGTGACGTAAGGTTGATGGTAGAAAGGGATTTGCGAGAAAAAGTGGTGCGCGACGTGGTCATGGGAGATGTTGTGGAGGAAGTAACGTCCCATCCAACCAAGGAGGGGCTAAATAGAAAAAAAAAGAAACACCAAGTTTTTGCGTTAGGAAGAAAAAAGTTGTAGTGCAAGAGAAGAAACGCACTCGATCGATGGTGCACGTCGCGCCTCTCAGGAACGTCCATGCCCCTTTCCTGTAATGCGGAACAGTAGGATCTGTATGCTGAAGGAACACAAGAGCCACGATCCTACGCAACGTCCAAACGATCAGCCATCTCCACATCTCCAAGAGGAAAGCCTTCCAAGACCCACCAGTGATTCGTCAAAAACCAGGGTACGAAATAAATGACACCCAAATACCCCCAGCTCGTCGCCTTTGCAAAGCGGTAGAGGACATACAACATCGTTATCATCCCAATGTTGCAGCCCAATACGGCTGTCTTCGAAGCGTCCGTTTTGAAAAGTGGGGAATTGACAAGATAATGCTGTGAAAACACACCGAACCAATAAAATACGTCATTGAACCGCACTTCGAAAAAATGAAAACTCACATTCGTCCCCTTGGGATAACTCCTGTTCCCGAGCGCATTCACAATCAAATAAGCCTCCAATCCAAGTACCTGCTGCAGCAATACCCTAAAAAACACCACAATAGGTGCTTCCTGCAATATCTCTTCGTACACAGACGGTAAAGCCTCCTGCTGTGGCGGAAGACCGAAATCTGACCGAGTGGAAGGGCAGAAATTTTCGTCTCGTTCGATGGAATTCGTTGCTTTGTCTGTTCAATCGGGCAAGTCAGTGCATTGTGCCTGAAGTTGGAAATGGTAAAGGACAATGGTGACTAGTACTTACGATGTAACGCATGAGAATACCTCCACCCATAGTAAGGCACAAGGACTAAACAGTGAAGTGTCCACCCAATCGCATGGCAAACCCAGGGGTAGGGTGAAAGCGTCATATGGCCTGCCTGCAAATGTCGGAAGCGTTCAGACAAGCCAGTGATGGGGAGCCAGATGAGGCGAAAGGAGAGTGGATGAGGGGCGAGGACGTCAGCATTGTGAGGGACATGATAGGATAACAACAGGAAGGAGAAGAAAGTGGGACATTTCCCTCAAACCGGGGGGCAAACGGGATGGTCCGGAAAGATCCACACACAACAACGAAACGGTCAACTCACTTCATGAGCAAGTGTCCAAATTCCGCATCCAACCATAGACTGCCACCACCAATATTGAGTCCACATGAACGCCTTAGCCCACCATTGTACTCGGGGACCGAAGGGTTCGAGGAGAGAAGTCAGGGTTGGAATGCACAAGGCGAAGGTCTGTCAAATATGATCATCGGGTCATCAAAATAGCGATTGATACGTAAGATGAGTGTCATCGGAGGGTCGCCAGTCATTGCAGGGTGGGTTTAGTGTTGGATGCGAGGATAGGCGCTGGTCGTCAAATACTTGGATCCCATGTAGAATCACCAAATAACACGCACAAAGAAAACGGTGCCCCAAAGTAATGTCCTGCCCACATAATAAAGGGAAGTGAACGTTTTCTTCTCATGACACCATTTAGGAACGGCATCGTGAATGTCCTTCAACGTTGTTTTGGGGAATGCGTATGGTTTTGAAGCTCGAGCTTTGTGTCTGGTGGGTCAAACCACATGCATGTTAATCGTGTAAGGGTGGCGAATGTGAGGTACGAGAATGAAGACGGACGTTAGTGATTATTGAAGATCGTCCCAAGGAGCCAGGGGGGTGAAATCACGCACTCTGGAGAGTCATCGAAGATGTAAGCGAAGAAAGAGACATCCTCTGACATGATGATTGCTGAAGGCGGGGTTGGGTTGGTGGGTGCAGACGATGGTGAGGATGGGAACTTGAAAAAGAGCGCAAGGGCAACTTAATTGTCCCATGTTCCCTTCTTTTTTTGAACCACTATGTAATTCCCCAGAGAAAAACGAAGAGCTATGTAGTTCAAAGCCTCGGTCACAATTTACCGTTTTCAATTACATCCATTTCCAGCAAAATGCAACTACCATATCAAGCAATCGCCACAATTTAAATTTAGACTTATAAAACTTTTCTGAAAATGAAAAATGAAAAATGAAAAAAAGGTAAGAATCCCGTAATAAATTTACATAAATGATGAAATCAAATTTAGACGCGGGTTCCAATGGACTTCCATCTCCGGATCTGGCTTTGATCTGATCACACAGCCACGTTATCCCGCTCAACCGGATTTTTCACTTTGGGCCCGAAGGCGCTTGAGATTTTCCATTTCTACCCAGATATCAATTATTATTATTTTTCTGATTTCGCCCTGGAGGCACTCGCTTTCCACACGGATCCATCGCCAATGATCCACACCCACGTGTGCACTGTACTGTAACTCCCAAGCGACCGTGGCTTCCATCTCTCATGAGGGTCAACAACTTCCCATCTACCCAACTTAACCTCCTCCACAGACGCGGAGCCTTCCTCTCCGTCGTACTCTCTCCTTCCTCAGAAAAACAGGCGCCACTTTGTTCATCTTCCATCAAACTCTAAGATAAGACTGTAATCATTCACACATTTGTTGTTGCAAAAAAAAAGAAACTATGTTGTGCATACATGCAGGGTGCTTATCGGGCTTGTCAACAAAGGTCGATTGCGGACCCTGTACATTCGATCTGGGGTACCGGCCCGGAACCTACGCCACCGAGACAACAGTTGCTCCTGTGGTGCAAGGCATTTTTTGTCTTCAGGGAAATCATTTTGAAGGACTTGTGGCCGTTTTCTTTTCTTTCTTTTTTTACGCAGTGGAACTTTCGCTAGGCACAGGCAAGCTTGTGCCTGAGAGTTGTAAGGGAGAGGGAGGGGCTCCCAGGGTAGGGACGGACATGCATGGACGGCAGATGCCACCGCGTCGCAATTGGCAATTATTGTAATATTGCCGTGTGTGGTTATTGCCTATTGGAAGCCCCGGTGCTGTGCAGCCAGTCTTCGGGGAGGCTTGGCTCGTTTCGAGGGCACCGCTCCAAGGTGTAAGGCTGGGTATGGCTTACTTTTGTATTTACGTTTATTTGTCGGGGCGGAGCTTGTCGTTATGGTTATTGTCTCGTCGGTACTCTCGTTTATCATCCTTTTTTTTATTCTAGCTAAGGGCACAGCCATGATGTGGGAGACATCCACGTTGTCTGGCCATGGGATTTTTTTGCTTTTCGCACAGGTATTACATGATAGGCCAGATAGTTGGTCCTCGGTTGTGGATATTCCATTCAAAGGTGATGTGTTCATAGTCTGTGACGTTACACTGGCGTTGTCGAAAACTTGGTTATTCCAATTCCAGAAGATATCCACAATGGAACCTCCCCGTACATGGGTTTACAAACACCTAAACATCCAACTAGTCCCTGGAGATCTTGGTCTCTGCGTCCTCAAGAGCAAGTCTAAGGGAGACTGCTCACGTCTTAGGAGTGCCGAAGTGCCGAGACACATCTCCTTGCTGCTCCTTACAAGTCCACTACTACGAGGGCAATGTCGAGTACAATTCTGGACAGCCTATTTGAATAAGAGCCCTGACTGTACGTACTCTGGTGAATTGCAGGCCACTCTGCAAAATGGGGCTCTCAAACAAGCACCCTAACGATTCATCGAGAGCTGCATAGGGATGTTTTCTGGGGGTTTCTCAGCCTCCCCCCCACTGTCTTGTACATCTGAGTACGTGCTGTCCACCAGCTTTAGAAGCGGGAGGTCGAGCATGATGCTGGTTTCCGGAGGCTTATGCAGGACAACCTACTATCTGTCCTCGTGGACGAGACACAGGGAGTGAACTACACTGTGCCCCTACACGCACACAGCTGGACACCATGTGGAGAAAGGGCTCGTGACACAATTCTTTCTACGTCGTACCAAGCGAGTTGTGTCTGGTGGCCCTTTCCTCAGACACTCCAAATTATGGGGTTGTCCACGTCAATATGCAGAAACAGTGGGCCCAGCGCCAAGCGGCTTATCCAAATAGGGGAGTGAGCCGGCTTTTTTAGGCAGATGACCAGCCCACCTGGACTCGTGCCCAGTGGTCGTGCATATTTAGGCAGGACTCTAGCCTCTATGACTTCGTAATATTATGGAGGCTGGATCTCTCAGACGTGGTTGCGCTCACGTGAGGCCTTTTGTTGACCGAACGTGACCATGTTGCTGGGGGACCAAACACGAATATTCTCAATCTGGCTCTCACACCTTTCTGTTAAAGTCATTGGGTTTTTGGAAATCGCTGCAAGAATCCCATAATGAAATATGGCCTACGGGAGGCATTCTCATTGAAACGACTTATTAACCTTTAGGCTAAGACGACCCATGGTCAGGGAAACTACATCTGGACTCATGAAGAACCCTTACTTGTAAATACTCATGACCGTCGAAGATTCTTGACTCGGCCAAAACATGTCCGTCAGCATACAAGTACGAAGGCTGTGCTCATGATCGGAAATCACAGATGACCCCCGCTCCAGTCCTGTAACTAGGACTCGCAATCAGATCAAGATGGCGACCGTAATTGAGCAAGGTAGTTCTCAATACAGTCGGAATCCCCTATATAATTCTTAAGTGTTGGGCTTCCCTCCCTTTCCTCTTCTGAGTCCTTCTTGCGCGAATGCGCGAAACCCAGGTTAGCACTCCCTGATCCACGTCATGTATCTAGCTGCTCACGACACGTACACTACCTACCAGTAGCAGCAGTTCTAAAAGCCACAATGCGATTCTGGAGTCTCTTCTCCCTAATCGCTGTACTTCCTATCGTCGCAGCTGATTTTCACGTTGGCTCAGCCCGTTGCACTCAGTCCTTCCCACATACCGCGGGTGCGGAAGCCATTTGGGGGGTTATCATCCCTTCGAATCAAGGTGAACAGAAACTTGGAATGAAAAATTGATGGTCCTGCTTAAACCAACGTTTGCCCAGACGGTTGCATTGGTGCAACGACCTTGTACTTTGGCCAAGGCATTCAATATGGGCCAGGCATGACCACCAAAGTTTGCGGTGCCACAATTACGATTTCCGGTAACCAAACGTGGCGCAGCTCGGATGGAAAATACGGACCTTGTTATTGGCTTAACGGCGTCGTTGGAGCAGTTACGGGGTGCTCGAGTGCACCTTACGAGACGTGCGTATGGACCGATTATATGTGGTGCCAGTCAGACTTGTGCAAGTAGCAAGGGAAATCGGTAGCAGGATCTGGCAGAGCCAGGCGCTCCCGAGATGTGAGCAACCTCCTTCGAGGACGTAGAGACCAAGACGTCTTTTCCCGGCAGGCTCAAGACGTTTTCTTCGTGGATTATTACCGCAGGCGCAATGAATTTCGGACGCTCATATACATATTCCCGTGGAGTTCCACGGTATTATTGATTTTTGGGAGGACACGTATTTCATAAGAGCCTCCGATGCTGTCATTGATGCCACATCTGCAGTCACCATGCACTGCTAAGTGACGTCTAGATTATGTGCTCAAATAACTCCGTAATGTATATATTACTATCTATGATCTTTCCGCAACATCTTCACCAGAGTGTGCCATCGCACAGCGAAACGTATGCACAAGTACGCAATACCACGACCAGTCCTTACAAGGTTGTTGGAGATATTCCAACGCACAACTGCACGCAGTATATTTATTGGCGCAAGAAATGGAGGGCGTGGGATCGAAAAGCTCGAAGAACAAGTAGGTAGGAATTTGAAATGGGCTAGCTCTTTACGGTCAGAAGAGGACACTCAATGTATTTCCAGCGTGGCACGGGCTCTGGTTGAGAAACCACCGAGTGGAAACCCCCCTTACGCTGTGACACTCGAGATCGAAGAAACGCCGCTAGCTAGAACACATTTATATCTAGAGATGTGAACACTGCATGCGCGCGTAGCTAGCACAGGACAGTTTACTGCCTGGAACACTAATCGTCCGATTATACATAAATGTGCTGGACAGGTAACGACTCCTGCTAGAATCTCGACAGGATGGTAGGCACTGATAAAATGGGACTATTTGGGACGGGAATATACTTATATAGTTTAGTTTCACTGGCAAGCGTCGTATTTAGTGCGGCCTGCTAGCTGCGCAGGCTACAGTGCTGCCGCAATCATCCGTGCGATTCACAACGTGGGCACGTCCTACTAAGGCTTTTATTTCCCCAAGAACAATCATGACACGCGCTGCATTGTAGATGTCGATCTAACTTTAGTTTTAGCCAACTGTTACATACTGTCTATAACGACATAAGTTCGTCGCATGTCGCATGAAGATTTGGATTGAATTGAAAATGAACATGATGAATTGATTCGACACCCGCAACTCCGGAGCCGTGGAATGAACTAATGGTCGTTATACACAGTATAGTATTCTGAAGCTCTATGTGACTATGGCACCGCCCCCGTGCCTTGCAGAAATATACCAATAAACGGCCATCATGCCATATGTAAGAATTGAGAAGGCCACAGTTAGATCAATAAGGGAAGGGCCACGACTGAACTCGTCGGGTATAGGTATAAGTACAAAGAAAGGAGCCCAACTCGGCGGGGTACGGTGGCTTGTTTCGACGAAGAGGTTAAGGAGCGGTGATCAAAGATTCATACACGGAGGGGCACCGGGATGGGGGAAACAATAAGGACAGAGAAGCAGAGAAGTGTGCAGAGCTGGGTCTGAGAAGTGGTTTGGAGTTAAATTCAAGAGAATTTCCATCTGTGGGGTATTAAGAAATATTGGTTAGGCTTCACTCGATCGGGAGTATGAGGTGAGTAGATGAGTCCTCACCGGTTACCACAGTTCACGCATCTGAACGGGAGTCAGAGTTAGAAAGAGGAAAAGTAGGGTCGATGATACGTACGTTACGAATGTCTAGCAATAAGTACGATGGTGGGTGGGATGAGTCAGCCAAAATCCCCAATCTTGTTTAATACATTGCCTTACCGTCATCGGTTCATCCGCACTTCTGGTCTGGGCTTGACGATATCGGGTTTTACGCTAAAGAGAACATCTCAGTGACGTCAGGATATGAAACATTCGTGATGAATGCTAGCCTCTTTGCAGCGACCACATTGGAATGCATCAGTTTCAGCCTCTTGCTCACCGGCTCCCAAAGACTTGAACAAATTATCCTCCATCAATTGCGCATCGGCTTCCTTGCGCTCTTCTGAAGCCATTTCCTAAGATAAACGTGAGGGTGGGTAAACCGATGGAGATGATGAGAGACTTTTCTGTACCTGGACACTCATCGTGCAGAACTTGGGAATAGGCAAGTCTCCCGAAACAATGAATTCCCGTAGCTGCGGGTTGTTCTTGTCCTTCAAGTTGAGGAACAATCTTCTCATCTTGTTCCTATACGCAGCATTTACTGCGCGGAACTCTCTGTACACTTCACCTTCCACGGCCTGTGCCTTTTTAAGCAGTTGCTCCGAAGCTATTGAGTTTGTTCAGTCAGCTGAGAGGCTGATGGTTTTCTCGGTGTGGGATAGGACAGAAACTCACGGTATCGTGAATCATTAGCAAGCGCGTCATATACCATTTCCAGACATTTGTCCCGGACTTTATCCCCAAGTGTCACAATGGTAACTCCATCGGTCTTGGTGGTCCTGGGAGCGCCGGGTTTAGCACCGGGTACGACTTTATGCGGAACGTTGACTGGTGCAGAGGGTGTTTCTTGACGTGAGGGACTGGGAGTACCAGAAGGGTTCTCAGTCTTGATCGCAGCAACTTTGCCTTTGGCAGGATGCCATGCGAAAAAAAAAAAAGTTAGTAAAGTGATCGAGGCGGAGCGTGCAAGAAGGCTTATTCACCGGCAGGAGTCTTGGTTTTCGGCTTATCCCCCACATGGACCTCCCCTTTCCACTTCTTTACGATCACTTTGGACAGATCTGCAACATCCTTCGCGCTGTGGTTCCGAAGTTTGCTGACAGCCACGCCTACCTTCGTCTCCTACAGTTGCACAAGAAACAAATCAAAAACTGGATAAGCGCTGAAAGATCGAAGCTACGAACCTTGAGAAGTTGCTCGGTGGCCACGACATCCTTAAGCAGCTGCTTCATAATCGTCACGCATTCCTATTTTCGATGAGCGGAAGAAGCGCCAAAAAATCGAAGTGAAAGGGGTTCGTTAGCCAACGTGTTAATCACGAGTGTTTTTTTTTCAGTGAACCAACCTCTGCAGCGTTGGGACCCTGTGATGCTGCGGCCGCATTCAACGCCTTCACAAGCGTCTTCACCTCCGCTGCGTCTGTCATGTAATGAAGTGTCTAATGCGTATTCTACACGATAAGCTCTACTGTCAATGCCACCCTGATGCGTTTGTTGTTGAATTGCGACAGAAGCACGTCACGAGATTGCGTGATTGGTTTGCAACCTCGTGACGCAACTTTATGCGTCAAAAATTTTGAGGGCTGTTGCTCTCATCGCTGGCTCATGCATTAAGGTTTGGTCTCCGGGGTTCTGCATGCTTGTTTTTCTGAAGTCTCTAGCCCAAATATACTCGTTTTAGGATTAAGTGAGGAATGTGAATCCTCGAGCGCCCAACCCGGTTCTCCATGATTCAGGTTACTTGGGTCCTTCAATGCACGCGCATTCGTTTGCATTCATGTAGTTCTGTTGTGTGGAGAGACTGAAAAAACTCTTCTCAAGCTTCTTGCCGAGACCCGCTTTCCAACATTCACAATGATCAGAACAGGCCCTCGACAATGCTGTCAAATTACTGTCGTTCGTGTGGGACTGCTTCCTCTGCCGAATCTAGGGAAAGCCTTTCCAGCTGTATGGATGCGTGTCCTGGTTCTTTTGGCAAACGTTCGTCGTGCCTACGGAGGCTTTCTTATTTTTTTAGCAGTTCGTCCCTCATTCAAAGTGGTAGTGTACTTCGGTACTCCGACTGAACTCTTATAGACATCGCACTAGAGGTGTCCAGATTGAGGTCACGACAGGTCCTTGATGAATCCTTGGATTGTACGTCCCATTGACTGCCTCAGTTTGAGGACTTAGCCGAGGTATTAGGGACAATTTCTCGTCAGACATTGTTCTTCTCTTTCTCTTGCAGAATTGTTATCCGTGCCGATTGAAAAATCTTACTCTGTGGGGAGACCGTGGGTGGAGGTGTGGGCGGTGGAAATCGCCCTCACCGATTCATCCCGAATGGTGGGGGTCTCTTTTGCTGATATGTAAATCTGGGCTGCCACGTGCAGAGTCGCTTTTCGCCAAAATTAGTCTTTGGAATGGGGTCGCCGTTGTTGATCAAATTTGGACTGTCCAAGCCAGCCAGGTTGGAATGCCCCTGCGAGCATGGGGGTTGCTCAAAGAATTTCAAATGATGTCTTGATGGACCACGTGATGTGTGAATGCGGCCATGTCTGAAATAGGCAATGTCGACCAGAGCGCTTACTCGTCACCCATCCTCGGGGCGCGCGCATTCAGGTTCGTCATTATGACTAGGGGTTTCTTGTTCTGGTGCTTCATCTAAATAAGGCGAGCTTTCAAGCGGGAAAGGGAAGAGACCCCTTTTTTCGCCACAAACAACCAAAAGCACATGAAAGTTTGATCAGTTCAAACCTCGTGCTTCATCGATGGGGGGGCCTTCCGTTCTGAGCCCCGACTTCTATTCAACCGCGGTATATGATGCAATTTGATCAATTTTCACAAGCTTCAAGCTCTGTTTTTTCAGTTTCTTTTTTCCCCGCTTCTTCGCTACTCGTTTTGGGCTCGTCACATTGCTAGATCTACATCATATTTCAATAGCGATTAAGGTTTATAATTAGCTGCGGTATATTTCCCCCTTGGCTTGTCGGGTAATAACCTTTTCGGAGCCGCTTGTGGAGCTACCTTTGATTTCACAAGCTTCCTTCGACTTGACATGACATCAGTCAAGACCTGTCAGCGGACTTGGTGTCCCATGAGTCCGCAACCAGGCAGGCAGAGCACTGACCTCTCTTTACACGGGGAGAGAGCAGTCAGGAGGCACCCTAGTCTGTCAGTCTCGACTTTTGCATTTCTGGAGGACAAGATATAAAAGACGGCGTGGGGTTTTGCCCTCCCTGTCGTTCTCCCGCCGAGTGCAGGGCGTAACGATCGATCTCTACGCCCGCAAGAAAGCCGGCTAGCATCGTCACGATGTCCTCCCTCGGCAGCAAAGTGTACCAAAACGTACTCGAGTCCACCAATGGACAAGATCGGGCAACAGGGTATTTTTGGTCGACGACTTCAAAGTCACGCTTGAGGGTTTGAGGGGAGGCCGGCGAAGACGACGACGACGCCCAGGCTGAGGGGCGGAAGAAGTGTAAGGGCCTGGTGGAAGGCGATCGAGTCTGTAAACGAGTCCCACGGTAAGGTCACAAAGTCCTGGAGCGCAGAGAGCGCCACGTCACCACTCCTATTTCCGTCCCAAACGCTTCACGACTAGGCTCTCATCGAGCTCCACGGCGAGAAGACCAACTGGGAGGCCTTTAAGGACAATGCGATCGATCTGGGTACGTTTCGATCTATCTTACTGAGGTCGTCTAGTCTAACTATTATATCCAGGCACCAAAATTTCGCCCGACGACTCTATATTGAAGATGCACCCGAACGCCGCGGCCCGCCCGCACCTCCTTCAAATATCCGCGTGGCCGCCTCTTGCGGCTTCGAGACATCGTCAAGGACAACGAACTGCGCCACCCGACAATGCTCGACGCGGACGGCGAAAAGCATGGCATTCACGAGACGTCGATGGAGCTAGCCATCTACTCGTACGGTCCCGGCTTCATCATGGCTGACGGCAAGGGACGTATCGTCGGCCTCCTCACCGGCGGTGCCGGCCAGCCAGATCCCCTCTTCGACTGAGTTTTTGACAAGCATATCAAGGCGTCCCTTCCCCAATGCCCACTTCAACCCGATCAAAGCCTAGGCGTCGCGACATCAATTTAGAACGACATTGGGAATGCTGGTGAGGTGGTCAGAGGCGGAGACGTCTCGTTCTTCTTTCTGCTTATGCGACTTCTTCTTCTCCTTCCGTCAAGCTCTTTTATCTATGGATTAGTTGTCGATTTAGATCGGTGCTCTGACCAATGAACTGCTGTTTGGATTCATATCTTTCTTTCCCTCTCATCTTTTCGTATAACTATGTAACGGCCTTTACTAACGATATAGGTCACGGACCCGTAGGCTTGTCGTTTAGGTTCATCTCGTTTCTTTCCTCTTCTCCCTTCGGGTAACTGACGGATTTAACGTGCAGGTCTCAGACAAGACTCGATACGATTAGCTGGACTACCTGAAATGCTCGCAGCCCTTCGAATGACGTCTACTGAACCTATGCAGGCCTTCGATCCTCTTACGGTAGCTTCTCGTTTTTTCTCGGACACTAGCAACTTGACCGTATCCTCTCCCACTCCTCTACCCCTAACCTTCTTCTGGTACCACGTAGTAGTTGTCTCTCTTCTCGCTAACCACTTTGCCGTCGCTTTTTGTTTATCCTTACATAAAACTCCACTTATTGACTTTGCTCTTGCGACTTCACTCTTATATAAACAGCATCGTTTACTGGTATCCGGAAATCGAAGCTAACGATATTACCTAGTATGCACCATTCATAGGCAACCCAATCTGAACTGGTCTCAATATCCACTCGCAGTCACATACAGATTGTATAACCATGGCACCCTCATCGCATAAAGTAAGCATGTCTTGTCCAACCGGAGGTTTCGTTCACTGCCATGCTTTATTCCAATTGCGGATCCGTCCCTCCGCAGGCGAAACGCGCAGATCATCTGCAGTGCATAACAAAAAGAAAAAAAAAAGATTGCCTCCGTTTCAGGGATCGGATCTCAGTTAGGAATGGTTTTCCATCGTTGTGAACTAACTCGATCAGCGTTCGGCGTTCCTCGCTGACGCAAGTGGGCTGTTATGGCCGCTCCTCGCCAACTATGGGTTGTGATGGTTTATTGCACCGATTTCGGGCTCGGAGTGGATATGCTTTGGCCTCAGGGGTCCGCGCCCATGCTGAAGCATCGTCAGGAACGGTGATCTAGGCACAAGGGTTTTTAATGTTCCGAATTACAGATGTGTTACACCCACCCCAGAATACAAAAATAACTGGCACCAAAAGTGTTCTTGTTATCGGTTGATAGCTCTTATGCCGGAAACAAATGCATGCAGTTGGAAGGAAAAAAATGATCAACTCGATCTGTTGTTGGATGTTGATGACTATCTACTATAAGTGAATTGGAGTTCAACCCCGGTGAAAAGGTCAAGTGCCGGCTAGCTCTCACGAAAGGAGGAGTGCGGGAGTGACTTGAACAATATGTTTGGCAACTTTCAATGACGCTTCGATGGCATGGATGCAATGGATGGAATGGGAGATGGCAACTCCCCACGCGCACACAGTATATACTACTCTCATTGCCCGAGCCCCCAAGGAATAGAATTGCACCAACAAGTCGTTTTGCGGCGTGAGTTCTTACGCACGCCCATTGTAAGCCGCATATTTGATACCGACTCACCCTATGGGAAAGTCAAAAAAAAAGTCCTTGGAACATAACTTTGCTTCCGTTTCTCTCTCACTTCGAACTTGGGTTGAGCCAACGGAAACACACGCAGTTGTACTGGACATGCAATGCAAGAATCTGGATCCGTGGGACAGGAGCATACGAGTAGTACTTATACGTTGGGTCGCGATAAGAAAACAGAAGCACAGCCCATATGTGATGCCGGAATTGTAAATGGTCTGGATCATTTACTTATGATCGACGAGCGCTTGTTTGCCTTGGCATTTGTAATCCATGGGGACGGCCACAATACATAAATATTGGAGTTTGGGCTTGAATTATATGTGAAGAAAGGGACGGAATAATCCAAAATGGTCCGGGATATGGAATACAAATCGGAAGACGAAAAAGCAAAAGTGGTGCTCTTTTTGAAATGTAAAATACGTGGCATCAAAGGTTTTCCAATTACCAAGTACTTACATAACCAAACCCTTTTATGGTATCTCTTTACCAGTTTCCAGTGCGCTTATCCTTTGAGCACTTATACGACATATGAATCATAATCAGTCAACGTTATTGCACGATAGGTCCCGAAGCCCCGATTCCTGCCCGAATTTGAATGGCTGATAGGGGGGGTGTTATGCGGCCGGCCTACATATGGACTTTTTTTTTATCGAACGTTTGCGTGAACAGTGCACGTATGTATTTTTGTCAATATTGGAACAGATTAGATCGTCGCGAAGGGCGAGCAGTTATTGTGCTGTGCGGATTAGATGGAAATAAATTGAGATCGAGTTGAGGAGGGGAGCCCCCGCGGCGACTGCGGTCTAATTTCGTTCACTGGTTTGACCGCCTTTCAACATGCCATCTCCCTGCGCCGGTTCAACACCGCACGCGTGCTATGCACCATATGCTGTTATTTAGCTAGTTAGTGGGTATGGAAGTGTGGCTCTGTTGATCGTTGTGCAAGGGTGGAATGATCAGACCGCATGCATGCATGCATGCATGGTCAATGAAACGTGGGATAAAAAAAGTGATCAATATATCGGTGCTTGAGTTCCAGTGGTATTGGGACCTCCACTTGTGGTTCAAGGAAAATCTAGTTGGTAAAGTAGGAGACGAGATGAGGAAAACAGGGAATTCCACTACATTGCGATATATATTTGTTACCGAGAACCTTACGTATGGTGCGCAGCGAATTGGGTTTGATTAATCCAAGCGCGATTGCTAGCCAACAAATCTCATTGATATCATCTCGTTATCACTTCCGATGTGGCTTCCTCTCCGTCAGGGAAAAATAAACGGGAGAATTACAAGAAGCCATCAAAGCCGCTGCGCGCTCACCGTGTACAACTTTCCAGCCCGATAATAATGACGGCCACCGTGTGCGCTTTCTGCTTGAGTGAGAAAAAGGAGATAGAACCATGCATGGGGAGGCTACACAAGCCCGCAGCAAGGGAATTAGATGATATGTAGGTCTATCATTAAAGGTGCAAGAGGCGAGGTAAGGTTAGTGTGGAGGGACCTTACACAGTGCATTGATCTCTAATTGTCGTACCCGGCGACAGGGGCCCCGGAGCATCCCATCCATCAAAAGGAGCGGTGTTATTCCAATTTTAGAACTTACTAGCTATGTATTTGGTTTTCGTGCTTGTTGCTTTTTCTTCTTCCGAAGTTTTGATGTTGTACAGTGCATGGGTCGGGTATGAGAAAAACACAGAGAGAGATATTTAAGGAGCCCGGATCTTTTCCTCGAAGCGATGATGCCAGACAAGTACATACATATGTACTTCTGCTTAGGTTCTTGGGGGAATCCTCATTTCTGGGCACCGAGAAAAGAGATAGGGGAAGCATGTAGAGAAGCAGGGGACCACAAAGGGGGCTTCGCCCAAGGGCAAGTCCCAGCTCGATGAACGATTGAGCACCAAGATAATAGTGTACGTCCAGTAATGTAACTTGGGGTTCACATTTTTTTACGCAAGTACATATTGTGTGTGCAATCCGAGTAGTAAGCTTCATGGGGATCTGATGGCCAGGGGTTGGAAGGGGTTTGGTCTGGGAAGGAACTTTCCCGATCTAGGGGCCCCAAAACCCTCTCTCTCCTGAGCTTCGGAACTTCCAAGTCCAGTATTCGGGCCCCCCTGCTGAAGGTCCGGGGGGCCCACTAGGATCACATAGGATCTATCCTAGAGTATGCTACATCATGGGTGAGATGGTATGGGTCGGGACTGGCATTCCCTGGTTCGCCGTTGGAAATAATAGTTCACACTTGCTAGCTGTTGATTTGCCTAAGATTATCGTAGCCAGAATATTCTTCCTTGCGACGCACCCCGTGGCGCGGGTACTGACCGGTGCACACACATACGCGGCGACATGCAACAACGATGATCAGTATGTATAGTGATTGAAGTGAGTGAGTGATGGCGACATCCTGAAGCAGGTCCGATTGAAGAATAAGCGTTGAAACGACTAGTGACCCTATTGGCACTAGAACGCGGATCAAGGACACAAAGGAGTTCCCACGGAATAGAGGCGGGATAGCTGCCAGCGCAGCTCGGAACATGATCAGGGGTCTCCGTACGAGGTCCGACCGTGTTAGCACGGTACCATCAGCCGCGTATTCTATGTATTATCACCACTCGTGGTAGCACTAGTGCCATGTAGTTGGGAGCTGGTCTCTTGAAAGCTAGCGAAAAAAAGGAATGAGATATACGTACGTGCCGCGGCCAGGCCGGGACACAGGTACCATCAAGTGATATATCGATAGACAAGGATCATGCATAAGTAATGAAGTTGATGTACGTTAAGCATCAACGTTTACTAATCTAAAAGGATGCACGAGAATGATTGAACAAATATCGAAGTACGCAGGGGGGAAAAAGGGCGACGCCCTATATCCGACGTCCGAGCAGGCTAGTTACTAATCCGTAGAGATCAACGTAGTGGCCGGAGAGAACTCCAAAGGAAAAGTTTGGTTACTGGAGTTCGGGATTTACACCTTGGAATGATGTATTGCTATCATTGCATGCTGCTATTGGTTTTCACTCGCGCGAAGGGTTGTTTGGGTGAACGAAAAAAGTCGTCAACACTCTTGGGAGGGTCAAGTGCATGGTGACATCATCATGAAACCCACAAAAAAGGAATAGGAAAAAAAAAGGGACAGGCAATGTTCACACACACAGACAGTTGTGTACTTTAGAAATACACTGTGTGAGTGAAAAAAAAATAAATTGATAGGGGGCGGAGGGATTAGGCCGTTCGCCACCAGTTCAAGGCCTAGCTTGAGAAATTATCGGTAAAAAATGATGAGATCGGCCTGCATGCGTCTTGCGTGATCGTGAACAACTGTTTTCGTGCAGATCGTTATGCGGATCTACAACTCCCAGACTTGGTTTATGTAGTACGTGGACCGAGTGATCAGTCCACCCAGAATGTGGTGGCAACGTCTTCCGTGTGATGCCTAGTATTCACGCCGGAGAATGACCCAAAAAAAAAAGGAAGATCGGAAGAACAATATGAGGCCTAGAGCGATTCTGCCGGGGAGGTAATACTTAATGGGCACCGCATGCAGTTGATCATTATGATAGTTACTGGTACGGTTGAACCCCGATCTTAACGCGTGTGTATATAGGCATAAGCGAGCGGGGTTCAAAAAGCGGGGTTCGAGCTCATGAGTGGCCATGAGGGGGGTGCTGGCTATACAGCACTCGTGCGATTACGCCATATACGGGCACAATAAATGTGGTCATGATGCTGAGCCTGCCGAAGTAATGCCAGGTATGTATGTACTACTATATACGAGTTGCTTCGTTGCAAGCCCAGCCCAGAACGTCGCTATATGGAGATTAAAATATTATGCACGGCCATCAGTTAATACCTGGGGCTCAACGCCGATTTCACCGATATATCGTCGTAAGTACCCGTGAGTAAGCCAATACGCGAGCCATTCGTGACAAGGCACGACATGCAGCACAACGACAGTACTAGGGCACACACGGAGATGAGCTTGAGGCGTATCGGAATCGATGCGCGCACTTGGAAGAACCATCGATCCGTTACAGTACCTGTGACGTCCATGTGTTCGGTCGCAACCCGAGCACAGTTCGCCAACGGTCACAACGATACCTTACTGGTTATGGTTTCTGATGGATTCCCGGGGTTTCGGGTACGCGTCAAATCTAGATGGCAATGCTTTTTTCTTTTTTCAAAGAGCTGGTGGGCCTTGTGCCTGTTGGTTGGTTGCTGCAAAAGGGCCACGTAATAAAAGTGCTTCGAGCCAAATACACAAAAACAAAGATAGCCATTCTTCCACGTAAGATTGACGGTTAGAGAGCATTAATGTAATGGTGTAGGTTCCAAAGAGGACCAAGTGTGCCCAAACACTATCTGACCAGTCGCACTACTCGCGCACGGACGCTTTACCGAGCGCCAGTGACGTTCATTTTCTTATCCTTCACTTCAACCGGATCGTTTAGGACCGGAATTTAAGTATGTAATCTCTCTCTCAATCTTAGAAACCAAGAGAGTGCTTGCCGAAAAAGGGTTCGGGCCGATCAAGAAGCCCGAGGTTTTACAGTATGTCCAAGCGCGAACCAAAATTCCACCTGGAATTCAATCTTACGGTTCGAGCCACGCGTCCGTGCCCAAAAAAGTGTTTCATTTGGCTCCACTGGATCCAATTACATATTATTGACGTGGGTCTAGACGTTATAGGGGGAGAGAGGGGTCAATCTGCTCCATGTTTACGCTACGAATGATGACAGAATAACCTGCCAACCCAGATGTTCGCTAGTTATTTACAGTTTTGCTTCTATCCATTCATTCACTATTTGAGATAACCGTAGAGATAAGGACCAAAACACTCACAAAGCGTTAATTTCCGATCGTCGCTTGTGTCCGTTCATGAGCGCTCGCGTTATGCTCTGATCGACGATCATGTAAACCCAATTAGTTTGTCGTCCCACATCAAGCGATAATCACGCAAAGTAATTCATTCCTTTAATGAGATAGAGCAATCAGCTACTCAGCTGGATACAACTCGTACTGATGATTTTATTCGATCTACGTCTGTGCGTATTACAATGTGTAAAATAATCGACTGTGCAAGCGCGCGTGCTGAATTATCTGGAGATTTCCCACGACAATCCAGAACAATCCGGACTCGTACAATTCCAACACTTATACCTGTTTTGCGATTCCCATTCCTTTGATCTTTCAATTTGTAGGACCAATATGAATATGTTTGAGGCACAAGATAACTAGTACCTGTTTCCAGATGTCCTTCTAAATCCAACCTGCGCAGGCTGCAGTGCTGTGGGCCAAGCATAATGATATGTACCACTAGCACAATCCCGCGTATCTGCATCGCCCTATCGTTCAAGCTGGAATTAATGCCAGAGTTGGAACAAAGCCTAGAGACTGTTTGTGGTACTGCCGATTGCTGAGCAATCAATCGATGACGCACTGAATTCGCGGTCCGTGGCCAGGCTCAGTCTCCGACAGCAGTCCTTTCGTTTTCCACTCGAAAAATACTCGCAACGTAATTTTTGTTGAAGCTCCAGCCAGAAGTGGACGTACGAGATGAATTTGATGATCAGGGAAGAGCTGGACCTGTGTGTAACAACTCACGCGGGGACGTCCGCCACTCAGTGATTGTACCACTCCTGTGAGAATCTAGTTGCAAATTCTGCGTTCTGATTCGTGCGAGCCAATTACTTGCCATCGAAAACTAGAAGCAGAAGCAAGAGGGTGGGGGGGACTCTCATTTTCAAAACTCGATACGGGGGGGGCGCAACGCACATCGGGACCCGTGTTCGACACTTGGATGTGTTTTCATATCCAGTCTTTGCGTTCAGAGCAAAGTTAATGCTGGGATAACAGATTCGATCCACAGCAATCCGCAGTCGCACAGATCTAACTACAGTCACACCGTTCTGTCACATACTAGCATTTCTCCCCAGGCTCCCTGGCATCCTCTCACACTTTCCCTGGCCATAATATATGCACATCGCACTGGGTACTTTGGACGGGGCTGGGAATGGGTTGGTGCTTGTGTGTGTGTGTGCGTGAGATGTATGTGCGTGTGGTTAGCTGGCATGTGAATGGTGTCCCTGTTCGCAGCCAGAGATGGGCGAGGGGGCTTGGGGAGGCATTGGGCAGTTCTCTTTGGTGGACACCCTCACCCTCACCCTCACAGTGGTCGCAGGCATCGCTGCGGCTTCCATCTTTCTCATTCCCATCGAGGTTGATAGGTCGTTGAGAAATGCGAACTTGATCATTCCGATTGTGAGTTTGATAAGTAGACACATGTACATATACTCAGATATAACAGGAGTGTGTAAAATCACACGCCTGCGTGTTCTGAGGAGAAGTAAGGAAAGCCATTCATGTGAAGGTGGGGGGGAGAATGTTACTCTTGCAATCCAGTAGAGGTTAGTCACTTGTGTGTCAATGAGTGTGCAACGCTAGGTCATCTTGCACGGCGGTTGGCGCTTCCCACCTATCGACGATGCTTCTAGATCGACACCCTCAATCAGCACGAACGCACAATGACGCGACGATTCACCATCCGTGACTTCCAGGGATGTTAATGCATTACAAAACGATACAATATGAATAGGGGACGTTTGGTTCGATAGTTTGCAGGGTCCCAAGCCAAACATGACAACAATCTAATCTCGAAGGGCAATTTGTTCGAAAGTTCTGCGGAAGAAAAGCGCTTGCGCACAAACTAAGGTATGGTCCCTGAGCTTTAGCCTCCTCTCTCTCTCTCTCTCTCCTTGTTGTGGACACCTGGAATGGAGATGGTGGCAGGAACGGAGTCTTTCTGAGATAAAATTGCGTAACCAATTTGACACAGGTGCATGGCGTGGAGTTCCATCCCCGAATTCAATAAGAGTGACGGCAATAACAAATCCGTTTCTTTCCTCTTATTATTTTTTTTTGTTTCCTTTGAAATTATCTTTTTGGGTCAGATTTTTTTTCTCCCCCCGCTAATTTTTTTTCCCTTCACTTTCCCTTTTTACCTTGACGTTCCTTCAGGGACAGGTTTTACAGACTCGTTTAGCGAAATCTCATGTAAACTCTGCTCCTCCGACAGGTACATGTTATTAGTTTCCTTCTACCTCATCATCGTTCTTGCAGAGGGCTCCTTCAGCCAGGAGAAGTTGCACTGGATTGCGATGCTGAAGGGGAGGCCGATGGCGTGAGAAGTGCATCATTCGGAAGGGTCTTCTAGATTATTTTTCGCAGTCGTGCGAACGTTTTGTTTTTTTAAAGTAATTTACCGATAAAAACAAAAGTTGATGGGAATTCTTTCCTTGTTTGGGCGGGTACCAGATCCGTAGATTCGTCATATATATTCAGTCGAGGTGATGATGTTCTGGAAAAAGAGGCGGTGACTACAGTTGGCAAAGTGCCTTGGATGATTTATCAAATTCAAAATTGAATTTCTTTTGAAAGGAATTTGATACATAATACATATCAGAAATTGCCTCGTTTTTTTTTCTTTCTCTCTCTTCAACCCTTTTTATTCGCACAGAATCACCCGGATTGAATAGTGACCCTTTCTGGCAATTTGAAAATGAATCCTGCAAAGGAGTTTTGTCGTCCGTCGTTCTCGTTTCCAATCCCAAATCCAAATCCGAAATAAAAAAACGAAAAGAAAAACAATATGTTCAATCCATCCCTGGATATAAATCCACCGAATCTCGTCTTCCTCTTCTGCCTCACTTCACCCATCACCCTTCCTCCTCACCATGGCTCACGTTCAGCAAAAGCCTTACAATGAGGACAAGCTCCCCCAGTTCACACCCATGAAGTGCGTTCCTACCATCTTGCTTTCCTTGCCACATCTACTGACCTGACTTTTTTTTCTCCTTGCTTCGTTCACTCCCCCCCCCCCCCCCCCCGCGCCTTTATCACTCACCCAACATCCCGGCTTCCCCTCTCACAATGTGGAATCGCTCCCATCACCATCTCCCAGCTGGTCCTTGGGCGAAATCCGCGCTGCCATCCCCGCCAAATACTTCGTGCGTGACACTGCTCGGGGTCTCCGACACGCTGCGCGCGACTTTGTTATTGGTGCCGTCTTTTGGTACTTGGCTACCTACATCGATCCCTTGGCCAAGTCGAAAGCCACCGTTGAAGCGTTGGGGACGATTGGCGCTGAGGTCTTCAGATGGTCACTTTGGTCCGTTTATTGGTGGTTCCAGGGTTTGAACTTCACCGGCATTTGGGTTATTGGACATGAAGTGAGTTTGGTTTTTCCCCCCTTCAACACGGCCTGTTGTTGCCGCGCCTGGGCGTGGTTCGATGCGATGCGTGGCCGTTCCTTCGAGGCCTTGACTATTAGCAAACCTACTGACCACAACACCGCTCTCTCTCTACTATCTAGTCTGGCCATGGTGCTTTCTCTGCCAACCGTACCGTTTGCGATATCGTCGGTTTCATTACCCACACCCTCATGTGGACTCCTTACTTCTCCTGGCGTATCTCCCATCATCGTCATCATTCCAACCACGCCTCGATGGAGAAAGATGAAGTGTATGTCCCCAAGACTCGTTCAGATCTTGGTATCCCTGAGGGACGCAATGAGGATATCGACTGGGAGCATTATTTGGGTGACACTCCTCTCTACACCCTCTACATGCTGGTTCGTCAGCAAGTACTTGCTTTCCCTGCTTACCTCCTCTTCAACGTCTCTGGCCAAAAGTCCTACCCCAAGTGGTGAGTTGAATCATTGGAAATGTTCATTCAATTAAGTAAGACGCTTAAAAACAATTCTTTCATTGATCAGGACCAACCACTTTGACCCCAACTCCGTGCTGTTCAACCCATCTCAACGTAATGCTGTTATCGCCTCCAATCTCGGCATCTTCGCAATGATTTGGGGAGTCACCTATGCGTCCACTGTCTACGGGACTGCCGAAGTGATCAAATACTACTTCTTCCCATGGCTCTGCGTTTCTCATTGGTTCATCATGATCACTTACCTCCACCACACTGATGAGAACCTCCCTCATTATCGCAAAGCCGAGTGGTCCTTCCAGCGCGGAGCTGCCTGCACTGTCGATCGTCCCTTCTTGGGCTGGCAAGGTCGATTCTTCCTGCACGACGTCGCGCACTACCACGTTATCCACCACTTCTTCCCTCAAATGCCATTCTATCACGGAGAGGCTGCCACCCAGCACTTGAAGGCGTTCATTGGCGACTATTACGTTCGCTCTGATCAGAATCCTTTCTCCGCGCTCTGGCAGGCATACAACAACTGCCAGTTTGTTGAGGATGAGGGTGACGTCGTCTTCTACAGGAACCGGAAGGGTGAAGCTTACAGGAGGCCGGCCGATCCTTGGTACACCCCTTCATCCAAGCCTGCAAAGGTTAGCGCTGAGTGAAGAATGGAAAGTTGGTTGTCGGGACTTGTTCGTCTTGCTCGATAATTTGCTTGCCTTTTTTTTTTCATTCTTGCTGTAGCCACTGTTTTCTTATCATCGCACATTCTCTCTCGATTCTTTTGCTTGCTGACTTCATAGAATTTCTCTTGCCCATTGTTTTATTACATAAGAATCTCTTCAAATAAAAATTACAGAAAGAGATCCTTGATTTAGACTGTAGTATTATTATGGATGTTGTACTTGGGTGTGATCCGGAGGTGTGAGTGGGTAAGGTTGGGGAAATCACCATGAAGCGATGTCGAGGTAGGTTGAAAATTGATCAATGGAATGGCCGACGGGGGGTTGCGATGCTGGTGTTCTGCCTCGTACGCGATCCCCTATCTTCCGGATCTCCGACCAAGCAGTGCTAGGGATATTCTATAGTGATGGTTAACCTAGTGCCGGTTGTCAACTTTGACAAATATATTCTTGAGTCTATGGCATCGTGGATGTGTGTGTGTGTGTGCAGTTATATGTATAGGGTGCTCCGGGTCACGACTGTCAGACTTGTTGCAGACTGGGGTAAGTGCATTTGATGTCTATTCGCATTCATTAGGTGCGATGGATGAGAGGATGCGGATGGTATGTATGGGAAGAACTTCGTAGGAGGGGTAGAGGAGGGCCTGTCACTGTGGAAGCGAATGATTGCGGATGCGTGTAATAATCCCCGTACATGTACACCTATGGCTGAGCTGGCGAGGCACTTGTTTCGTATGTGGGCTTAGTAGCACGGTCTAATGAACACGAGGCCAGGGCTGCCATTAGGTCTGTACCAGGGGATGAGCCGAGTTGTTAACTCTCATGCTTACATCATCACTCATGGAATGGGCCGGTGCTGATTGTCGTGTCCCTCGATTTCGACAGCATGTAAGTATAGGCGTTTATTATTGTTAGCCTAGCTGCTTGCTGCGATCATCCCATGACGCCCATGACGTCCAACTGGGTTGGGTGCGTGTCTATGTATGAAGGGAATTTATTGGTTGATAGGGTTAATTTATGTTTGTGTACATAGCCAAGGGATAGTGTTATGCGTATTACTTTTCGCTAACGTACTATACGGTCGAAAGTGCGAAGATGGACAGGTACTTCCCTCTTTTCTGCCGGTCCTGTGGGTGTGAGTAAGGAGCCAGGGGCTTATTCAACTTGCAAAATGAAGGTTCGATTCGATATGACCGGCGGCAAGCCGCATGCGGGAGGGAGAAGAGAACACTCACCGCGCGTGGGCAGATTCAGAATCAGATTGGGCCATGTGAGATAGGTCCACGGGGTGCATCATACATCCATGGACCAGACTCAGTTTTTTTATTCTCGTCCCGGTTGAGTAATGCTCAGGTTGCGCAACCATGGCCGAGGAAGCTTTCCTTATGGGTGTATGTGAAAATTGGATTTGAGGAATATGTAGGTGTGGCGCTTGCGCGGAATCTCCCACCAATTCGCGACCTTAGTCGGCAATTTTGTTTGCTCGTTATGTGTATCGTCGCAACTCAACTACGAGTCACATTGCGTATCTTCTCGTTCGGCGCTTTTGTACATGCATGAAGGGACTTCTGGATCACCATGGATCGGAATAATCGCCGATGGGGGTCGAAATCGGGAGATACACGGTGTGTGGATCGCGCGCGAGGGAAGGTTTGCATGGTGATATAGTTACCGGTCATCATACTATCGCCTTGAGTGGTTGGACAGGGCACGCGGTCCCTCATTGCCGATTTTTTTGTGCACTGACGTTGGAACTCGCGGGCCCCGGCCTGTGCCTGAATTGGTTTGGGAAGTGCGCGCAGTGTGAATGTGGTTTACTCTCATACTCACACTAATCATTTTCTGCAAACCCAAATTGTATGCGGATCGTGCCGAGCCCGTGCTGCAATTAGTATGATGAAGTTGCTTTGCTGTTGACGGTCGTGATCTGCTATATGGCTAGGCAGGATCCCAGCCTCTACTATATGGGTGTCTACTCATCAAGTTGTGGTCTTAGGGGCCATCGGGATGTCACTGTGTTCTTACTGAATTTTTGGGACCAATGTGGCCATTACTACAACGGATTCCACGCTGCGATCGTCGCGGGCAATCTCCCTTTTATGCTACACTGGTGCGTCCTTTATGTGGGCCCACATATGTTGGACATCGGGATGTGTGCATCTGTGTCGTATTCTGGGGTAACGGTACGTGCGGCCTGGTCCAGCGCAAAGGATGCCTCCAAGATTCACACCTCCTGAGGTGGCGATTTGATCAGAGGGATTTTTAGTACGATTTTCGCATCGCATCACGCCGCGTTCCGCGCATCCTCGTCACTATTAGTGGCACCGCTTCTCACCCATTCATTGTTGTCTAATTTCGTCTGTCGTGGGTTGAACCTTGGGAGTGCTGAACTTCTCTCTCGAGCT